CATGGGAAAAAAAATGAACAATGGTATTGGGCTATCTGGGTAGACATTTGGAAAGAAAGTTAGATTCATATCTCCCTCTGCATACCAGATATATTCCAAATGCAGTAAAGATTGGATGCAAAAAGCAAAATTATAAATGTATTGGAATCATAATTGTAAATGTGGGAGAATGTTGTGGACATTTGAAATAGGGAAGTCTTTTCTAATTATAACCTCAGATTCAGAAGGTATGACAGAAACAATCGATAAATTCAAATGTTTTTTTTCCCATAATAAAGGTGTTTATTCTTGGGGAAAAAAAAACATGCCTGAAAGGATGCTTGAAATATAATAATTGTGGCATGGAAGGCAAAAGATGGCCAAGAATTTCTTGACACCCCTCTTATTTATTTATTTATTTATTTATTTATTATATTTTATGGATTATGCTATTACAGTTATCCCATTTTTTTCCTCTTTATTCACCTTTACCCTGCAACCACCTTCCCACCAGCATTCCCCCACCTTAGTTCATGTCCATAGGTTGTATATATAAGTTGCTTCTCCATTTGCTTCTCCATTTCCCATACTATTCTTAACCTCCCCCTGCCTATTTTGTACCTAGCATTTATGCTTCTTATTCCTGTACCTTTTTTCCCATCTTCCTTTCTACCCTTCCCAGCTGACAACCATGTGATCTCCATGCAATCTCCATTTCTGTGATTCTGTTCCTATTCTAGTTGTTTGCTTAGTTTGTTTTTGTTTTTGTTTTTGTTTTAGCTTCTGTTGTTGATAGTGATGAGTTGGTTGTCATTTTACTGTTCACATTTTTGATCATCTTCTTTTTCTTAGATAAGTTCCTTTATCACTTCATACAGTAAGGGCTTGGTGATGATGAACTCCTTTAACTTGACCTTATCTGGGGAGCACTTTATCTGCCCTTCCATTCTAAATGATAGCTTTACTGGATAGAATAATCTTCGCTATAAATCCTTACTTTTCATGACTTTGAATACTTCTTTCCAGCCCCTTCCTGCCTGTAAGCTTTCTTTTGAGAAGTTAGCTGACAGTCTTATGGGAATTCCTTTGTAGATAACTCTCTTCTTTTCTTTTGCTACTTTTAAGATTCTGTCATTTTTTAAAAAAGATTTTATTTATTTTTAGACAGAGGGGAAGGGAGGGAAAAAGAGAGAAGCATCAATGTGTGGTTGCCTTTTGCATACCCCCTCCTGGGGACCTGGGCTGGAACCCAGGCATGTGCCCTGATTGGAAATCGAACAGATGACCCTTTGGTTTGCAGGCTGGCACTGAACCACACCAGCCAGGGCTCTCTCCTTATCTTTAATCTTGAGTAATGTAATTATGATGTACCTTGGTGTGTGCTTCCTTGGTTCCAACTTCTTTGGGACTGTCTGAGCTTGGTGAGGATGAGCTCCTTTAACTTGATCTTATCTGGGAAGCACTTTATCTGCCCTTCCATTCTAAATGATAGCTTCCTGAACTTCCTGGAAGTCTATTTCCTTTGCCATATTAGGAAAGTTATCCTTCATTATTTTTTCAAATAAGTTTTTAATTTCTTGCTCTTCCTCTTTTCCTTCTGTCAGCCCTATGATATAGATGTTGGAATGTTTAAAGTTACTCTGGAGGTTCCTAAGCCTCTCCTCATTTTTTGAATTCTTGTTTCTTCATCCTGTTTTGGTTGAATGTTTATTTCTCCCTTTTGCTACAAATTGTTGATTTGAGTCCCAGTTTCCTTCCTGTCTCCATTCATTCCCTGTACATTTTTCTTTATTTCACTTTGCATAGCTTTCACTTCTTTCTCTCTTTTGTGACCATACTCAACCATTTCTGTGAGCATCCTAATTACCAGTGTTTTGAACTCTGCTTCTGATAGGTTGGCTATCTCTTCATTTCTTAGTTCTATTTTTGGAGCTTTGATCTGTTCTTTCATTTGGGCCATATTTCTTTATCTGGGCATGCATGTTTATATAGTAAGTGGCAGAGCCTTAGGTATTAGCCAGGGGAGGCCACCCACTTCACTGCATTTGGTGCTATGTGTGGGGGAGGGGTACAAGAGGGAACAATGCCACTTGTTCAGCTCTCTGCCTTTCAGTCGCTTTCCCTGCTACCCACAAGCAAATTGGGCCCTTCTGGCACTCATTCCAAGGTGGGTGGGTTTTGTGTACATTCTAGGACCCTGTGGGTTTCTCCAGTGAACTCTCCTATAAGGCTGGGAGTTTCTCCCACAGCCGCAATCCCCGCAATCCCTGCTGGTTTTTACAGCCAGAGGTTTTGAGGCTTTATTTCCCTGCACTGGAACCCTGGGTTGCACGGTTGTCTTGCTCCCTAGTTGTTCCTCCTGGTTTATCCTCACACAAATGTCGGGCCACAGCCACTTCCCCATCCCCAGTCCTCCAGCTGCTGCCTTGCCACGAGTCCTCTCTACCTTGGCTGCCCGTCTCCACCCCTCCTACTTGTCTGGATGAGTGTTTTTTCTTTAACTCCTTGCTTGTGGGACTTTCACAAGCAAGAAGTTTGATTTTCTGGCTGTTCTGGTTATTTTTTGTTTTTTTTAATTTGTTGTTGTCCTTCTTTTGGTTGTGCGAGGAGGCAAAGTATATCTACCTATACCACCGTCTTGCTCAGAAGTTACCAAATATGTTTTTTAAAAAAATTTCTGCAAGAAAAAACACCGTACGTTAAGTGTAAAACACAGATGGCACATTGGTACAAAGTATGCAGCTGGTGGTACATACAAAGGTTTAATTGGGGAAATTAAAGAATAATTAAAGAAATCCTACTCATCAATAAAGAAAATATGTACAGATCAAGAAAAGAAATGGACAGTAGATTGAAAAGACTTCGTAAAAATGAAATAGAGATGCTTTTTAAAACACATAAAAATGTGTTTCTTTTAAGAAGAGGAATCAAATTTTAAATTATACAGAGATACTGCTTTTTATATATTAGATGAATAAAACTGAAGCGTGATAATATACTCTGTTGATGAGACTTTGGGAAATGAGCACTCTTGTTTGTGTGAGTGTTTGTTGCTGAAATTATTAATAAGGAATATCTTTTAATATCTAAATACATTGCAAATGCATAGACCCTTTGATCTGCAGTGTTAACTTCCAGGAATTGATATCCATGTATAAAATGGTCTGTATAAAATGACCCATGACATGGTTATTTATTGCAGCATTGTTTATACTAGCGGAAGTCTGGGAGCTAACTCAATGTCCATTCATAGTGGGGGGATAAGTAAATTATGGCATATTCTTATAGCTTTACAAAAGAAGGATGGCATTCTTCAGTTTGATGATGAAAATATTCCAAGACACATTGTAAAGTGAAAACTCCAAAGTTCAAGGATGATATTTGTGGTATGCAACCATTTATGTGACACTGGGGGTTATAAGAATACATGTTCAAATCTGCTTACAGTAGCAGAAAATAACTCGGGAAAGAATCTGATTTAATAACTGGTTACTTGGTAAGAAGAAGAAAGTAGGAACTGAGAGAGTAGGAACAAATTAGCAAGGTGGAATGTTGGATAATTTTCCATTTGTGAACCATGTGAATGTTTTATCTGGTCAATATACTTAGAAAATAAATTGAAATGAAAAATGAATTCCTCTAGGAAACTGATATATCCAAGGTATATTGTAGACTGTAAATTTTCTTTCTCCCACATTTTTTCATTGAGAGACATGAAAGGAGAGTGTAGATGGTGTCATGACTACTAATAAAAACACCTCAAAATACATGCCTTACTGAAAGTTGGCAAATAGCTTTTACAGACAGAAGCTCAGCACATTTTACGGCCCTAGTCATAACATGAAGGCCGTTGGCTATGTTTCCTGGGCATCTGACACCTTGAATTGATTGAGATGCTTTAAAAGGTGTCATGTGAAATTCTACCTTTATAACTTGAAAGCTGAAAGCTGGTTAGCCTGCCTTCCTCATTTTGGGTTATTTCCTCTGGTCATTAACATCTCCTTAATATAAAAGCAAAGGTAGAATAGATAAAGAATAGACCAGACTTGGTTTAGTTGTGTTTTGTGTCAGTTCACCTTCACATAATTTTTGGCAGGGTGTCCTTTGAGATATTGAAGACGGGGAGAACTAACATTTGCTGAATTTTACATACATTTAAAAAATTTGGTCCTCACCACCATCCCACTTAGGTGGGTAATAACCTTTATTTTAAATAGGTGAGAAAACCAAGGCTAAGAGGGGTAGCTCCCTGGAGCGAGAAATTAAACCTATGCCTGTCATCCCCTGACGTAACAGAACTTTGTGAGAGACGGAACAGTTATCATCACGTGGCAAGCATAAATTGTGCCACTTTCCACTTTACCGAGTTTATGTCTTCAAGTAGTGCAGAGTCCTTGTAAAAGGTTTGATGGGGATCTGGTCAAAAGCGATGACCAGGAAAAGGAATAGAAGAGGAAAGTATGAGGAACAGAGGGAGAGGGGATAGAGAAGAAGAAGAAAGAGAAAATATATTTTGTAGTGGAATTGGTACCTTAGGTTAAGGTGACGTATTTTGGGATTATTTCAAGCTTTTTGTTATACTGGTATGTGATAGTTAGATATAGTGTTTTTTTTTCTCCCTGAGAAAGTAAAATATGGAAATGATGTCTCTGAAAATTCAGCTAAGGTGGCTTTTACCTCTGTGTTGCAGAAAATTTTGTAGATGAACTTCATTTTGAAACTTCTTTCCCTGAAGGCTAATGGAGCTGACTTAGTCATTTGGCTGTTCCATTGAATTGCTGTTGCTGATAAGAAGTGCAAGCATTAGAACAAGATTCATATTTTTCACTGTTGTTTCACAATGAATAACTTTTCTTGCCTAACTGGTTATTTACATTCACATGGCTCATGCAAGGCCTACATCCTCAATGGTAAATATAGAAATCACAGTACAGATAGTAAATATAGAAGAAAAAAAATCTCAAGGGCATATCTGTTTATTGTGAAGATGAAAATTATTTTCCTGGTACCTTATTTCATAGCATCCTGATGAAAAGAGATTGGAGGGCCTGTCCAAACAGCTGGACTGGGATGTTCGCAGCATTCAACGTTGGTTTCGACAAAGACGCAACCAGGAGAAGCCAAGCACACTGAAGAGGTTCTGTGAGAGCATGTAAGTTGCTGTATTTCTTTTTGAAAGAAAAATCTGTGTAGTAACTCACACCATTCCTTGAGGTAAAAAATAAAGGCTTTGTACAGTTCCAACAGCCTCTAAAAAACATGCCATGTGGTGGAAAAATAGTTCACAGCAAACTGGGGGAATAGTTGGTACAAATTTGTGATTTCCACCTTGGATGCAGGAAATGAAGTTGGCTTCTTCATGGAGTTCCTACAAAGTAGGCATATTACAGGGCCTCCACTGGTATTTTCAATCAGACACCTTTGAAAGATAGCATTAAAAGCCATTACATTTATTGTTGGGATTTGAATAGAGCAGACTTGGTCGTGATGTTCTTCCCCCTGATAAACGCTGAGAGACTAGGATATATTATTAGAGGGTCATGCTGATGGCCTATATTCCTGGAGATTTAAGAAATTGCTGTATCATATTCCTGGGTGAGTTTAATAAAGCATTGCTTGAAGGTGGGAGATGGAATGAAAGGCTCTTCTATTTCTGAAATGTGAACTTTATGGTATGTAAATTCTATAGCAATGACACTTAAAAATACTAAAGGACCCACAGAGAACTTTTCTAGCACAGTGATATTTGAAGTAGTGACACCCAATACACTTATCTATAGGAAATTTAGAGACAGGAATATTGGAGCATTGAGCATGTCCCCTTACAAAGGTAAGATTCTGCCTCTTTACTCTGTTTGGTTTTCATCCTCTGGGACACAATTGCACCTTTGTTCTTTCCTTTGGGAGTTGTTTCCTGACACCTGGTCATTTAACAATAATGTTGTCAGTGTAGCTCCCTCTGTTGCAGTTAAAATAACATTTTCAGGTTTAGCTTTCAATTATGCCCAAAACATATTTTAGCAATTGCAATCTAAAGCTTAGAGGGAAACCTACTCTTATAAAAGAATGAGTGAGAGGCAGAAAGATATCATAACTCCTAGGGGTGGATAAATGTGAGGAGCATAAATAGGGTCTTCAGGAGGTCAGACTATTTTATTTATAAAATGTGGAAAACAACCTAGTAGATACAAACTGCAAAGCCCTTCCTATCATTGAAGTTAGTGCCAGTTTATGGAGGAAGTATTTATGCATCTGGGCTCCTTCTCAGAAGCTGGAGTTGCTTCCTTCCTGGGCCTACAACACACGCAAAGGGCCTGGGCTCCATCCTTGACCTGCAGGTCCAAGCAGGGGTGAAGTGGGGTCTCAGCATATGCCCCACGTACTGAAACTCATGGGCCATCTGCTCCAACTCCAACTAACTTCCTTGCTAACTCAGTGCTAGCCCTTTCTCTGCTATACTTGGTCTACACCAGTATGTGTAGGAATCAGTCACCTGGGTTTTGTTAAGTGCAGATTCTGATTCGGTCATTCTGGATGGCAGCCGAGACTGCATTTTTAACCAGTTTCCAGGTCACGCTGCTGGTCCATGGACCACACTTGGAATGGCAAAGTTCAACACTATACCAAAGACTATGTCTTCTCCCTGAACTCACCTGGTCTTGATCTGCATATCACAATCACCAGCATAGTCACACTTACAATTAGTTACAAATATTTCTAAGCGATTACTAGAGGCATGGCAATGTGAAGACACAGTGGGGCGTGAGGTGCGTGCATAAAAGTATTGATTATGATCTCTTCCCTCAGGAAGCTTATTATAATAGTGTCAGGTAAGACTTAATATCTGAATATGTGAGGGTCAATGACAGACATTAAAGATTAACCAGCTATGCATGCTAAACGATTGGTACGCACAGTCAGTACCTGAAGATTAAAGGATACAGATCAGTTGTGGGTTAGAACACACACACGGGTGGCTGGGACCTGAACTGCATCATGATCAGTGACTTTTGACATCTCTGTTGCAGAATGCTGTATTGATGAACTTTGTTCTGAAACTCTTCTTCCTTTCCCTCCCAGTTGCCACTAGATTCTCCTGCCTTTCTGATGGCTTTTGTTTGCATCACTTATTCTGTATTTTCTCTATGGCCTTTCGTGTGCCACTTCTCCAGATTCAGTCTTCACCCTCTTATTTCCCTCATTCTACCCTCCCTCTTTTGTTTAGAGGTTTTTTTCTTCTCACCAACTTCCTCCGAAACCATGGGTCCAGTGCAAATGTTTCTTCTGAGGCATCTCCAACGGGCACCTCTGGTTTGTTCCTACTCCTGACTCTCTTTTGCTCCTATTGTTCATATGTCTCCACTCTGTTCCAGGCTGGAAATAAACCAAGCAGCCTCTGAGATTTATAAGTTCTCTGTAAATCCACTGTGGTGGCTCCAGTCCCAATGGCTCTTGTAGGTCTCATTATTTATCTCATGCTCATAGGTATTTTGTTTGCTCAAAAAATTACATTTTCCTAAAACACTATTATCTCTATGGTCTGCTGCTTTAAGACCTGAAATGATTTCTCTACAACTAGAGGGTCAATATTAGGCTCCTTCTCCTGATAGCTAGAGGCTGACCTTCCTCTGTGAAATATCAGCCACCCAGATGACCCCTTCCTTCTAGAGGGCTGTGTTTTCACTATCCATACTTTGTTCATTCCTGCATCAGTTTGTGCTGTGTTCCTGATCTGGAATGCCTACATTCCTCTGCCCTGCCCATTTATCCCACATCCATTCTTCAAATTCCAGGCCCTCAGGGATGTGACGTGACTGTTGGGTCAGGAGTGAGCACTACTACTTTTGAATTCTTAGAGTCCTTATTGTAAGTGCTAGGAATGTAATACTGAATCACGTGTTTTCTCTTGATGTTATCTTTCATTAGGTCGTCTATACAGTTTCACTGTAATTATATCATACATGCTCCTTGAGGGCCCAAGAAAACATCATCTTGTTTTTCTCGAATTTTTATCAGCCTTTACCACAACATATAGACTCTACTGAATAAATATTTGTCAAATGACTGGATGTTAAGATGACATTGTTTTGGAAGAATTTGCTGATCTAAGTTGGCATGGCGCCTCCTGCAAATGAAGAGTGTCTAACAACAATGACTTAGCCTAAAATTCATCTGGGCAAATTACTCAACTGTAGAATGCTCCAAACCAATTTCAAAAGTAGAAATCATGAGAGAAGAATAGGATTGCCAAGGAGCACCTTAAGACGATATCACAAAAAACAAAGCAGAATTATATTGTCTGTGTATGCACACATGTATGTCCCAATTATTTGGTTATCAATTTAAAAACTGATCTGGGAAATCCATTCTTAACCAGGGATGCACTTCATAATAACCTGGTAAGCTTTTCAAAATACACATGCCCAGGGATGCTGGCTCAAACAAATCCGGGATGTATGGTTAAGTGTGGGGACTCCAGTGTGGTCTGGACATGCATATCTTGGAAGAAATACCCTGAATACCAATGCCACACATTCCCGGGTAGGAGGCACTAATCTCTGAGAAGGGATGACTGCTGTTAAAGGTACTGAAAAAGCAAGACAACAAATGACAAATTTGAATCTTATAGATCTAGGGCTCCAATGTAAAGATTTTATAGTTTTTCTGTTATGTAAGTTACTATTTTAGAAAATACAGAGTCCCTTCGGGGGAATTGTATTTCATCTTTCAGCAATGTAGAATGCTCCAGGATGCATGCCAGACAGTGCTTGAAACCATCTGTTGGTGTGTCCAATTCAGGGCATGCCCATTTAACACAGAAGGACTGAGTAGAAGTTGTTCAGCAAGTAATGTGTTGAAACACTGGCGTGATATATTTTTTCATTCACGCTGATGTCAGTCATTTACAGCTGTGTTCATTTTGATGACTGTTTCTTCCAGAAACATTTCAATCTTTACTGAAAACTGAAATAGAAATTTTCACAAGGAAGTAAAGAATTTATAAAAATGAGATGTCGTGTGAGATGTTTTAGGAGAAACTGGCTCCGAATGGCAGCCCTTGAGTTGTTTTAGGAGAAACTGGCTCCGAATGGCAGCCCTTGAGTTGGGGGATCATGCTTTGAGGCTGCTGATGCTTTGCTTTCCTCCTCTAACAATTGCATCAGGATAACACAAAAATAAGTATATGTAATAAAAATATCTGCAGGAGGACACAGAAAGAGGAGAGAGAAGTTTTCAGAGTAAATGGCTTTCCTCTCATCCATGCCTTACCTATGCTCGTTGTTTTTGAGTATTGTGCAGTAGGTTTAATAGCACACATCTGGAAGTTAATATTATATATGACTTCCACTTAAGAGGTCTCCAATTGCCTGGAAAGATAAATTTCCCGAATGATAACCTGGAAATATAGGAGAAGGGATGTTCACACTTCACAGATTAGTAGTAATTTATTAGGGTTGAAGTTGGCTCCATATGGAGCCTTGCTTTAGGGTGAGGACCCAAGATTGTCTTTTGCTTAGGAATTTCTCTTAGGGTTGATGCTGATTAAAATTATCCCCAAATGCTGCTGTATCTGGATGTTTCTGTTTAGTGGTAGCACAGTGGCCTAAATCTAGGAACCTCTTGAAATTGTGACTTTATTTCTGCAAAGAAGCCCTCTGATCTTCTTAATTTGTGATTCCATTGAACTAAGGATAATTCAGCACAGAGAAATGAGTGGTTTAACCACCTGCCTTTATGCTACCAACTCGCTCAATGTTTTTATTCGGGAGCTGTTTTATTCAGACAAGTCAGCGGTATTCTCTGTGACCTCAGTAAGAAAGTAGAGCTTAATAATTGAGGGTCAAAAAGAACAGGGTTATACAGGAAACCAAAAGCTGAATCTCATATTCCTTTATTTCAGGTCAGTCTTTGATCTGAGGAAATTCTGTGGTGAATATATTCAATAAGTTTATATAACCCAGCCACCTATTTGCAAAAAACAAACAACAACAACAAAAAACCCCTGAATATATGTAGACTGTTTTAAAATCTTCCATATATTACACATTCTAGTGATGGATAAAATTTGCTAAAGAGATAATTCAGTTTTGATTATTTTCTTCACCAGATCATGATGTGAGCATCTTTTACAAAGTTAACTATCAAAGTTCT